CACACAGGGTAGCCCCCCCCCCCGCCCCCCAAGGGCGGCTGGGACAGGACAGAAATGCCCGGATCCTCCCGTCGGGAGCCTGCTCAGTTCTCTGCAGCACCCTCGCCCCGTCCATCAGTCCCCTGCTCTTTCCACGAGGGAACTGGAGTCTGGGGAGCAGGGCCAGGAGCCCAGGGCCACCAAGTCCCCACGGAGGGCTTGCTCCCAACTGGCCTGTTTTAATTACGGTGACCTTCTTAATTCACGGGACATCAGATGATGTGAGCATTTGGTATGAAACACTCGATGCTGTAGGAATCTCCAGCAGTTCCACCGTGACCTGCCTAAGGATGTTTGTGAGCATCATCCTAGAGAAGACCCCGCCGCTGTCCGCAGACTCCGCCACCCCTTAGCTGCGCTTGCCCTCCGCGCGCCTCCTGATACTCTTCTTTCAAACAGCTCTTCCTAGAAATTAAAAATGCCTTACTTAAAATTTTTAGTCTTTTTTATTTTTATTTTTTTGGTTCTCTGCTCTGTCAGGAAAAGAAAATAGCAAAGACTGTTAGCTCGGGTGGGAGCCTCCCGTCCCTTGGCGGTGATTCGGTCCGGGGCCCTGGCTGCGCAGGTGGCGAGCGGGAAGGGCCCAATGGCCTAGAGCAGAGGACGCGGTGACACTGTGGACGTCCACACTCTCACCTGTGTGCTCCCCGAGGCTGGCGTGGGGTAGGCGTCCGCACTCTCACCTGTGTGCTCCCCGAGGCTGGCGTGGGGTAGGCGTCCACCCGGGTCACCTGTGTGCTCCCCGAGGCTGGCGTGGGGTAGGCGTCCGCACGGGTCACCTGTGTGCTCCCCGAGGCTGGCGTGGGGTAGGCGTCCGCACGGGTCACCTGTGTGCTCCCCGAGGCTGGCGTGGGGTAGGCGTCCGCACGGGTCACCTGTGTGCTCCCCGAGGCTGGCGTGGGGTAGGCGTCCGCACTCTCACCTGTGTGCTCCCCGAGGCTGGCGTGGGGTAGGCGTCCACCCGGGTCACCTGTGTGCTCCCCGAGGCTGGCGTGGGGTAGGCGTCCGCACGGGTCACCTGTGTGCTCCCCGAGGCTGGCGTGGGGTAGGCGTCCGCACTCTCACCTGTGTGCTCCCCGAGGCTGGCGTGGGGTAGGCGTCCGCACTCTCACCTGTGTGCTCCCCGAGGCTGGCGTGGGGTAGGCGTCCGCACGGGTCACCTGTGTGCTCCCCGAGGCTGGCGTGGGTTAGGCGTGCTCTCTGCACCTCTACCCCGATTTTAGGGTCACAGGCAGCCGGAGATGGGTACTGTTATCATCCCCATTGTATAGATGAGGAAGCTGGAATTCCGAGAGGTTGCCTTACCCAGCGTCACATAAGATCATAAAAGGCGCCACTGGGATTTCAGCAGGTGCTCATGGCCTTTGTTATATTCGCCTACATTTTCCTAACCCACAGGAGTCCCAGTGGGCTTCCAGAAAGCAGGGAAGAGCTGCACCCCGCTGTCTCGCAGCTGCGTGGTGTTGAGGCTAGAGATTTGTGATCAGTTGTTGGCATCTCATTTTTAGAAAATCCTTTTGTTTACTTTTTAATCCTCACCGGAGGATACTTTTCTATTTATCTTCAGATAGAATGGGAGGGAGGGAGAGAGAGAGAGAGAAACATCAACGTGGAAAGGACACATAGACTGGTTGCCTCCTGCACGACCCCCACCAGAGCCAGGGACGAACCACAACCGTGGTCCGTGCCCTTGACCGGAATCGAACCCGCAACACATTGGCCCACAGACTGATGCTCTAGCCACTGAGCCAAACCAGTCAGGGCTAGAAAATCCTTTTAAAACAACGAATTCGTGGGAGGGCAAGAAGGTTGCTGTGATATCGAGAATCCTCTTCCTATTTAAAACATCTGAAAAAATTGTTACAAGGGTCTGCTTAAGGGCTAGAAGACTTGGGGACACAATATCGGGTCTCAGATGTTTGAAGAGCTTTCATAGGTAAGGAAATTAAACTTCACATTTTTCAACCAAAGACATTCTTATGACATATGACGGGAAGTTATACATATAATCAAAACATGGGCTCATCATGCGGTCATGTTCTCTTCGGGGTAGTGCTTAAAAGCCCTTTACGCGTGGGATACAATTTCTCCTGCTCATTTTTAATGTTGAGGTGACTTACATTTTTTTCCAAGCTGTAAAACACAGTTCGGCTTGATTTCACAGTGAAATCATTCAGAAGCCCCTATCTGCCTGATTGCAGCCGAAATAGACTAAACAAAAAAAAATGCAGTCGGTACAAATTGCTTTGGGTTATGTGCGCGGCGACAGCGTGTGCCGAGAACCTTGAAACGACAGCATCTCGGGGTCTTCCAGTCAACCAGCTTGGGTCAGTGTTTCCGACCCGAGGACAGCTCTCCTCGGGTGTCCAGACACGGCCTGAGAGGAAGCTCCAACACTGGGTAGAAAGGAAGCCGCCAAAGCCACCAGAAGTCTTAGACCTTCTTCTAATGTTTCAACCAGATAATTATTTTCCCTCTCAAGAATTTGGCTATCCTTTGAGGGGGGGAAAAAAATCAAGATTTTCCATGTGAAGAGCCCCTGAAAGAAAATACTCTGGAGAAAGGTCAGCGAGGATGGGCCAAAGCCGAATTCTTCAGATCTGCTCAGAGAATGTGGAAAGTCTGCCCCTTTCTGCTCTGCGAGCCGTCAGCTGGCCCAGAGCTCCTGGCATTCGGCCAGCTGTGCCCTCCCGGTACCTTTGCATCTTAAAGGAACTCGTCCTGGGCAGTGGCAATGCCTCCAGTCAAACCTAAGTGGTAGCTCCAAGCTTTGTGAGAGGAGTAATAAGACCGGTAAGAACGGACGAAGTTCATCGAGATCGTCCATTCTCCTTGCTGCTCTGTCGCAGAGATAGGATCTCTCAGCGTTTCCAAAAGTACACTTTCGTGCTTGGAGAGTACACTTTCTTTCCATGTGTCCCACTTTGCATTTAAATGACTCGTGCTGCTTGTTGTGGTTCATCTCCTTAAACTTCGTCTTAATCTTACGCTTTCTGTAGAAAGTTAGGGATTCCATCCAAGGTGAAAAAGAGCGGTTTCAGAAATAAGTGCAGTCCAAGTTCATTCCATAGTCCGTTTGCTCATCCATTCATTGAACAGTTTCTTGTTTTAAGGCAGCCACATGCCAAGGACTGTGGCGGGCCCGGGCTGTGTCATCCCTCAGCCATGTGATCTTGGGAAAGTACCCTGATCTCCATGCATCTCGGTGGCCTCGATGTGCACAGCTCTGTTCCCAGCTTTGCGGGACGGCTGTGAAGACGGAGCGAGGCGGTTTTGTTTTAAGATGGTGAAAAGTCAGGAGGTCCTCTTTTACCCTTCTCCACCCACTGTTACATCCAAAACACTCACACACGAGGGCGACGGAGGGTGTCAGCAGCCCCGGAGCTGGCGGTCGGCTTTCTGCAGGGCAAGTGGAGTTAAACCGGGTTGAAATCTCTAAGCCATCAGCACACTCTGCCCTGAGTAAGAAAAGGGGGCTCAACAGGAAGACAAGAAGAAACCTCTACACTGCCCACTGAACCGCCGGCAGAAATGTGGGGGTGGTGTCAACCAGAAACCCAGAGGGCCGGCCTGCTAGAGGCCAGTCCGAAACGGGAGCCCCAGGAAGAGCGGAGAGGAGGGCGGGAGGTGGCTGAGGTACCCGCAAAGTCCCTGCATCAGGCCGCTGCTGCGTGAGGGGAACCCCCAGTGCGGTCATTCGTCAAGGGGCCCCTGAGATCCTCAAGGGGAGAAGTCCGCAGGCAGTATGAGTCGGAGACAGCTCTGGACAGAATATGTGAGCCATCTGGACTCAGATGCACAGGAGGCCTTCTGGCATGAATGAGGACACCTTAAGAGAGAGCAAGAAGAAAAAGAGATCGTTAATCTTGCACACTGCTACTGTCTGTCTAACTTGGGATCTCTTTTCTGGAAAGGTGATCGGAATGTGTATCGGTGTCTTAAAAAATGATCATAACCTTGATCCTGTAATTCTGTTTATAGAAATCTACGCTCAGAAAATAGCAGTAAGTATGACAAAGGCTAACAGATAAAAATATTCACTTAAGCATTATTTATGATTGCAAAAAAAAAGAAGAAAAAGGAAATTACTTAATTGTCTAATATTAAAACGAAGTTAAGTAAATGACCATACAGTTATAATGATGAATATTGTCATTGTAATGTGATGTTTAGAAAGAGGTAATGGTGTAAGTAGGTGACTATGGTATCATGGTAAATGAAAAAGGTCACCAAATTGATAGAAATGGAGATAAAAACTCCACCATGTGAAAAATGCAGAAAAATGTGAAAAGAGAGTGTAAGAAATAAGGTTATCTGCAAACAGTGGAAAAGGTATCTAGGTTCCAACATTTTCAAAAGGGCATATATGACGTCATTTGCGGTATTTTATTATTCTTATTGGTATCATTATTCTTATTTGTATGATTTTATTATTATAGCAATGTCTCAGTTACGAGTGTGCACTTGGTAAGCATTCCGCTCTGCTACATACCGGTTAACATTCTCTCCCTTTCACAACATGGACGACCATTTCTGTTTTCAATCTGGCAGAGTATTTTCATTCGTAAGATTATCGCCACGCACTTTTAGGTTTTGGCCATTTAGACTTGTAAAACGGTTTCAGAAAATCAATCTGATTACCAGGCACGAGCAAACCCGTCCCCTAAGAACAGCCCCCTTCCATGGGCCCGCCGTGCACCCCAGTGAGGGAGTTTGGATTCCGAGAACTTCTTGCTCCGCAGTACAGACGACTCTGAATTCTTCAATGTGAGGCTTTATAAAAGTGTATAATACCTATACAGGAATCTACTCATTATTTTAAACACAACGAATTGTTTTTTCCTCCCGGTGACTGTTTAAGAACTACTCATGTGGGCCCTCATTGGATCATTGTCCACAGTAATATGAAATCCTCTTAAGTTTGGTTCAGAACTAAAAGCATGGTCTTCTTTTAACTCCAGGAATGTATACAAAGACTATCGCTTCCTGGAGCTGGCTTGTGACTCTCAGGAGGACGTGGACAGCTGGAAGGCATCCCTGCTAAGGGCTGGCGTCTATCCCGACAAATCTTTAGTAAGTGGGCGAAGTCTCTTATTTTTAACTCATTAGCCGTCTTTGAGAAAACAGAACGCTACATACTGTGTGTGGAGGAAACTGATTCTCTTTTGACCTGATTTGGCTCAGTTTTAAGCGATACTTGGCTTGTATATAGATAGATAGATGATAGATAGATAGATAGATAGATAGATAGATAGATAGATAGATATGGATAGATAGATATTTTTTTTCGCCACTAGATTTCTGTTTTAAGAAGTTTAACACTATATTTGTTAAAATACTCTACTCTGCCATAAAACATAATACATGTAATCTCAGACCAAGAGAGAGTTTCTTTGTTTTAACTTAAAATTTTATTTCTCCGTATATGAATCTCCACAGTTGTTTTAGCATTAATACTAGAAGTTTATAACATTCTTTGTGTAGTCATAGCATATACATATGTGTGTGTGTATATCATTAATCATAACACTATTTTATATTCTTAAAAATGTACTTATTTTTATAAAAATCGACCTTCTTTTATTATGTCTGTAGTACCTGTCCCAAAATTATATCTGTGTTCAAACTCTGCTTAATGTCACGGTGAGTGTGAAGGAGCAAAAAAATATGATACAGTTATTCCCACTTATCTTTATTAGTATACTTCAAGTGTCTTGAAGACACTTTTCTCATCCAAGTGAATAAACAGACCTTCTCCTTGTGTCCTTTGGAAAATGTAATATTACACAGGCGGGTCTGGATTTAAACGTCGCAGAAGTCCGGCCCGACACCCGTCCACAGACTGTCAGAGACGCTGCGCGCTGCGCGCCGCTTGCCACTCACTCGCTGTTCCCCACGAGGCGACGTGCGGTCCAGGCGCCCCCAGAACTGCAGGGCCGAGGCCGAGCCTTGGGATCGAGTCCAGCTTGACCACTGTGGGGCTTCCTGGGCTCTAGAAAAGTGTGTAGGACGGATCGTGCACGGGCCGGTTAGTTCCAGGCCCCACACAGCACAGTGAGGCTGAGACATGGGCGCGGTGCGGGACAGTTGACGGCGCTCTGGGGGACATTCAGACCTGACCACATCCTTGAGGTTACACTGGAATGTAGTGGAGTCCGGGATGAAGGATGGAGGATTTGTGCCAAAATGTTCTCCCCGTGGCTGTTATTTTAGCATGCACACACCCCTCTCAACTCCCTTTCAACCTCCCTTTGTCTGGTTAGCACCTGAAACGCTGAACCCCTGCAGCGTCCCCTGCACCCTCCAAAGGGGTGACACCAGACCCTTTGCTGGCGACACCAGGCACAGAAGGGTCGTATGTGATTTTCATAACTGTCCGGCTTTTACGAGGTGTGTCCACACACGCTTCCTAGACGGCTGCCGCTCTGAAGACCACACGTGAGAATGCGTTTTACAATTGACTGCTCTGCCCTGGCCTGTTTGGCTCAGCGGTTGGAGCATCAGCCTGCGGGCCAGAGAGTCCCGGGTTCGGTTCCCGCTAGGGGCATGTACCAAAAAAAATGACTGCCCTTACTATTCTAATTATTACTTATTCCTCTTCCCTAGTTATGGATGGTAGTGTGTTTCTTTTCATAAACGTCCTATATTTAAAATTTTTAGACATTCTAGATTAATTTTTTTATTCATTCCACAAGAGCCTGTTGAGCACGTGGTTTGTTTGTTTTTTACAGACACCTGGCTAGGCACCAGAGAGGTGAGCAAAGAGGTCCTGCCCCCCCGGATCAGAAATTAATCAAGACAGTCTTTTCTATGTAATTGCATAGTGTGATTTAAGGGAATGATAAGTTCTGTAAAAAAATTAAGTAGGTTAGCCCTGGTTGGTTTGGCTCAGTGGTTGGAGTGTCAGCCCACAGACCAAAGAGTCACGCGTTCGATTCCCGGTCAAGGGCACGTACCTCGGTTGCAGGTTCAATCCCTGGCCCTGGTCAGGGTCATGTAGGAGGCAACCAATCAGTGTGTCTCTCTCACGTCGATGTTTTTTTTTCTCTCCCTCCCTCCCTGCCTCCCCCTCTATTCAAAAATCAATGGAAAAATATCCTCAGGTGAGGAGTAACAAAAAAATAAATAAAATAAACATAAAGTAGGTGGAAGAGACAGCCAGTGCGAGAGAGGGCAGGTGCGCTCTGTCTTCGTGAAGGGGACCAGAGGAGGCCCTGAAGAGCTGACACTGGAGCAGGCTCCTGAAGAGGGGAGGGAGGGGCCGACGATGGGGGCGTCTAGAAGAGTCACTGTCGTGGAGACTGGCCTGTGCAAAGCCAGCTCGGCGTCTCAGGAGGGCAGCAGAAAAGTCACGTGTCTGGAACACACTGGGAGGACAGGAGCGGTTGACCGTCGCCAGGGGGTGGGCAGGGCGGGCAGCCTGGGCCTTGAAGGAGTGGGGAGCCCTGAGGGTCATCCTGAGGGATGCCAGTCCAGGACCTGGAGCCAGGCTAGTGAAATGATAGGCCTTTCATTTTTCAAGATCTTTACGGCTGGATATGAGAAGCAGCGGAGCATGTGGGTTCGGGCACTGGCTTCCGGTTCAGATGGCCTCAATGACAGTCCAGGCTCTCGTGTCCAAGCTGTGGCTGCTGGGCAGGTGACCTGGCCTTTGTGCACCCCAAGAGTCCACTTTGAAAGTGGAGAACAGAAGAAAAAAAGATCCCCTAACAGAAGTCCCCACTCCCGGTTGACAGGATTGAGTGACAGTGCGGGAAAAGCACCGAATAGGGCTCACCAGTAGACACCGCTTTTGATGATGATGATGATGATGGCGATTTCATCATGTCATCATAGACCACTTTCTTTAACAAGTAGACAAGAGAACTAAAACACTGTGGCTGTTACAACATAGCCCAGTGAGGTTATAAATACTTTATGCTACTTCTATCTTCCAAACATGCTTGGTTATATAAAATCTCTGTGTGTGTGTGTGTGTGTGTGTGTGTGTGTGTCTTCAGACGTATAACTGTACTGTTTGTGAAAATGTTTTCTTAAGTCATGATTTTGCCAATTGAACTTATTTTAAATGCACTGGGCACATTGAGTATTTTAAAAAATTGTGTAATGCATCTCTTATGAGGAAAACACTGCCTTAGAAAAGCAAAATGACCTTCCCCTTGGTGAACTGTCTTTCTAAACCTGGATTTTCACGTGTCTACAGCTCTACACAAAGAAGATGCTCAACGAAACATTAGGGGTTTGTTCGTTTGTTTGTTTGTTTGAACATAATGCTCAATTTTAAGCAAATCCAGAGACTGAACCTACACAATCTCTTTTGGTCCTTTTCGCATGATTTTTATTTGTTTAGAAACACACATTTGGCACAGTGGTTTGGGAGCTCGAGACAAAGGGGTTTTTTAACTACATGCCAAAGACATGGCAGGAAATTAAACTTGGCAGCGGGCCACGGACGTCGCTTTTCTCAGTTTTCATCATAAACAGTATTTGCATTTTGGGGCACTGTGCAGTCCCAGGTTACATTCCACAGGGCTTGACTTTCAGGCAGTAAAGGGGTGCTCAGGACCGCGCATGGTCGGGCAGAATGCTTGTGCACACATGCCACTCTGTGAACAGGTAGGCTCGGGCAAGGGCTATTTCCAGGCACCGTTATTTCCAATTCAGGAAGTTGTGATGGAGTCAGATTACGCTAGTAACAGATGCCTCTCTCTAAAGTAAATCTTTAGGACTTCTGGTCTGTCGTTTGTTTTTGTATCAAGAAACCATCAGGTCAACAGCAAATCTGGTGGTCTGTATGCTAAGAATGACACTTTTATGTCATACATGGGCATGAGTCCAGACTCCAAAAGTTCTGCTTTCTACGTCTCTGTTTTGACTGGGGGTGGGGGGATTGAGATTGATTTTTTTTTTCTTTAATTGTATACGTTTGGCTTTATTTAGGTAAATAGCTGTCACCCAAATTTGAGTTAAAGGATGTTTCGGACCAACGTAACGGTCAACTAAGGCTGCGTGTTTCCTTCCAACATGCCTCCCCCATCCAGCGTTCTGCCCCGTCCCCGTGACGGATGTGTTTGTTTATCGCTGTCCTCGTCATATTCGACTCCCCTGTTTCTTCTGTCTCTTGAGTCATTTTTCTTGGAGTTTCCTACTTATTTTTTCTTTGTTTCCTTCCCTTCCACCCTCTTTCCCCACTTTCTTCCTTCCCTTCATGCATCACTGCTGTGGTGGACTCCAGGGATTCACAGATTTAAAGAGCTGACCCTCTTCCTTTATGGGGGTTCCGAGTGTAGTGGACGAGACAGGTCTACGTAATCACTGCAGCGTGATGGAAGTCGGTGGATATCAGCATAAATGCCACAAACCAACCATTATCGCCAAGTGCACTTTCTAATTACAAGCATAGACTTCTTATCTGAGCAGTGTCCTGTGTGACCCTAGGGTGGAAATGAGGAGTCCTGGAGTTGGTTTCCCGCGGTGCCGCTGACCCCGTGAACTCACACGCGCCCTCTCTGAGCTGCGAGGTGCCTTCTTCCTGAGCAGCCACGATATTTAAAAAATATATTTAACTCTGAATTTGGAGTTCGCAGGGTTTTATTTCTTTCATTTCTATTTCCTTTGGCCATTACATTGAAATGATGGCCACTGTAAAATTTTATATTGTTAAATAAGTGTATAGGATTTTACACATTTTCAAAGTAAAAGATGTTTCTCCTGGAATTAACTTATTTTTTTTTAAACCATTCGACTGAGATAGAAAGTGTGTGTGTGTATCAGTAGTCGCAGGCCACAATTAAAGCATTTTTACAAGACTGTTTTACAGACCCATGTATATAAACTTTTCCTATAAGTTTGAATACAAACAAATGTGAATTTGATTAAATATCTAAAGAACGTGATATAACAAATGCCTGATTTTCCTGGCACGGTTTTGTTGGCTCTGAACATGACTTAGATGATGCACAAACATTACAGAATCGCGAATTCTCTGGAACATTTTGTGTGAGTGACACGAGGTAGATGTGACGTCAACTCCACTCACATCTGAACCCTGACCCTTCCGTTAGTTAGCTGTGTGGCTCGGGCAACTGATGTCTCCAGTCACTTCCTCTTTCCTGAACCCCCCAAAATCACACCGTCCTGGAGGCGTTGATCAGATCAAATGAAGACGGTTGCGTCCAGCTCGGTGCCTGGACCTGGGCGGTGTGTTCGGTGCCACGTTGGTTATTGCGGTTGAACATCACTACCGTCCCCATGACGCTGTGCCTCCCAGGCTTGTAGTTCCCTTTTCTTTGGAAACTGCCACTGGGATCGGGTGTAAGAGGGAGAATTGCCCCACTGATGGCTGGGGAAGCCGAATCGCTTAGGGGTGTCTTGGGATTACGCCGCCCTGTGGACAGCCTGGCCTCCAGCTCCGCCAGTCTGAGTGAGCAGAGGCGTCAGGAGGGGAGGAGGCAGGAGCCTGCCCCGGATGCTGGCCTCCAGGCCCACGCAGGCCCTGCAGAGACAGCTAGCGCACGCTCGGTTCTGCAAGTCCCTCCCACAGCCCAGGACTTCTCCCAAGGATTCCATTCGCTGGACAGATAGGTGGCCCTCCCCTAGAGCGCGTGACTTCTTAGGAGACGAAAACTGGCAGTGGAAAGGAACACCCTGGAATTCCGTTCTTCCTCTGAATTCAAGACCCTCCCAGGTATGATGCTTTGGGCACTGCTTGGGAGGCCGAGACTGTCCTGTAACGAAGTCGTTTGGAGACTTCAGAGAAGCCTTTTGGCTAACCTGCGCGACTGAGCTACTCTCCGTGGCAAAGGACAGTTCAGGAAGAGGGTCTCTGTGCCCTTCCAGGGAAGGAAGAAGAATGGCCACTGGCCTCCATCAGTATTTATGACGGTGGAGATGCGCACTCAGCGGGCTTACTCGGCCGTTGGATAACACGAGACCGACAATGCCACCGTGGCGCCGTCACGCGTCCCTCCATCCTTGGCTGGCTCGCGCTTAGAGCGGCTCCCTGGCCAGTTGCGAAGGGTCTATGTTGTTTCTCAGTAGCAGCGCCTTCGGGGATCCGAACAGAGCAGTGGCCATGCGTATAACGAACGCATTTCCAGCTCCCGTCTCCCGGCAGACAGGAAGGATGGAAGGAGGCAGGAAAGGGCAGAGCCCCTCCGCGTCCTCCACGTGCACGCTTCCCCCCTTTAAGGATGGAGGCCCCCGCTCCGTGACATCACCGTTGCCACTACAAACAGAGCCATCTGCCACGGAGCGAGGAAGCCAGCCGTTCCCTGACGTGCAGAAACGCTTGGTGGGGCTCCCGGAGCCGCTGTGCAGACGAAAGCAGCCCCCTGCGGATGCAATAAATCCCGTCTGTCCGCGGCCGGGCCGCGTCCCTGCGCTTCGGGGACCGGTCCGTCCGCCTCCAAGGCAGGCTCTCTCTCCTGGTCGCGGTCCCCGTGGGGAGCGTTCCTGCCGTACCGAAGAGCTGGCATATTTTCGACAGGAGACCGTTTTCCCCGTCCGCCCGTCCCCGGGTCATTATTCACGTCTCACACCAGCCAGTGCTGTTCACGGTTATTCCACGGCCCACTCGCAACGCCACGCAGCCTCCCTACCCTGTTTCAGCAGTGTCTTCAAACGCAGGTCTTTATTAAATACGATGGCTGTGACGGCCCCTGCATTGGACATTTCCCCCGAGTCACCAACCGGCATTGTTTTCCAGAAAAGACACTGCCCTGAGATCGCTGCCTAACTGCTCTCCAGAAACTTCTGTGTGCGCGATGGATCCCTCCGCATCCTCGCTGCAAACTAAATGCCAGATGTCCAGCCGGCCGGGCTCCACCCGCGCTCAGGCCCCTGCACCAGCTCAGGGTTTCCTAACCGGCCGTCCAGTCGGCGGCTCCGCGCGAAATTCCTCCTGGGCCCCTCGTGAGAGCGCTCAGCCCTGTTCCCTGCCCTTCCCGTCACGTCTCTCCCACGGGGTCTGACCCTGCGAGGACGCGGGCTGCTCTGGGACCAATGAATCACCGCTCTATTTTTTCAAGCCGTATGTGAGTCAAATTGTTTGGTATAAATCATACTCTTGCAGTTTCGGTTGAAACAGGAGACCCATTTGCCCGCCGCCTGTCGCTGGCTGCAGCCCTGTCTCTCTCCAGAGTGTCCCTTATAGCGATGACTCCATCTTTGTGACTAACCCTTCCAGACCCCTTTTCTTGAACGCGGGCCAGTGTTGACCTTGGCCCACCCAAGACAAAACTCGTAATTTACAAAATGAAAGAATGATACACATGAAGGTCAGACCATGGTCTGCTTACCCCGTCTCCCCAGAACCACCCACTCATTCCCTCTGCTCTGCTCTCTCTGCCTCCCCCCCCCCCCAACTTCTTTGAAACCAAGGATGCAGTGTTTGTTTAAAAATGCATGGACTGCTGAAATTTTCCACTGCTTGGCATGTTGGAGGAGGGGCTGTCAGGAGCGAGCAGTCCACACACTAAGCACTCTGCCTGTCAGGCGGACAGTTCGCGTCTTACCAATAGAAAGCCATGCTTTTTGGCCCGGTTCCCACACTGCAAGTATCTGGAGCAGAAAGAAAGGGGGAAATCTCTGTCTTAACTCTGCCGTTATAAATGTGTGATTTCACTTCATCTAAGTAGATCCTTTGACTTGGCCTTGGGCGGTGGGTGCTGGGTGTGTATGTATGGGACGTCAGTGAGCAGTTAAATGACTTGATTTCGCCCTAGCTCGGAAATGACCGCATAATTTTAAAATCAATTCATGTTTAACCTATTTTTCATTTTTTGTTTTTTTTTTTCCTTGCTGCTGCACACACAGGGGAACAACAAAGTAAGTTCTTTGTCCTACGGCAGCTCCTCTCTCTCCACCCGCTCCCCTCCTGCATGCGTCTTGGCGAGAGTGTTCCCGTGCACGTTGAAATGACTGTGTTTTGTGGCCGGCGCAAGTGGCATGGGGCATGCGGGCCTCGGGGGAGGCGTGCCTTTGACTCCCATGGTGGCTTTGCTGCTTTGACCTCGGGGAGGGAAACAAGCCTTCAGGGTTGTTTATTGGAGAAGGAAACTGAGGGACACTGAGGGTAAAGGTCGTGAAGATTTAGTGACGGGGACTCTGGCAGGGAGGGCACGACCGTCTGATACAACTCTGTGCAGCTGAAGATTTGGAACAAAAATCAAAGCTCTCATGTCTGTGTGCAGTTATAAAAACCCCACGCTGGAGTCTTAAATAGCAGGATGGCGGGCTTTGCTGGTGAAACTGAGTTAGTTAGATCGGCGCTCCGCCTTTGAAGGTGCCTCGAAATGGATGGAGGAGGGTGGGGTCAACATTTGACTTGGCTTCTGCGCCCTTGATGTGCTCCAGCTGGAGGGAGGCAGGAGGGTGTGGGGCACGGAGCAGGGCCTGAGATGCGTCTGATAGATCCGTGAAAGCCGGCAACATACACAACTGGCGGAAATTCTCTTAGCGTCACCCTTGTAACAGATTAAGGAGCAACTTAGTAGTTCCTAGGGTTGCTAGCTTGTGTAAGTTTCAATTCAGGTTTTCCAAAAGGTAAGAACTACTTCTCACCGATATGAATTATTTTAGAGGCATGTAGTCAGGGAAGATGGTCTCAACGGGAGTGGGGTGATTGTTATTTATTTTGTTCTGGGGAGACTTCTTAGTGCTTCATCCCACCAGGTGGCCCGTTTAAAAAGGGCCTCATTGACTACAATAAGAATTGCAAAAGATCTCTTATAGAAGGGTCTGCCCGCATATTTAAACCAGCTGGAATTCATCAAAATTGCTATTCATAAGCCATCCATATAGAATGTAAAACAAATGTGGGCACCCTTGCAGTTTAATGGGATGGAATGCGCCATTATGGAATAAGTTGACGTAGATGGTTGGTATTGAAGAATGTGTCACTTTATAAATTTATACCAAGTAATAATATTTAATGAAGTTAAAAATAATACAAGAAAAGTACAAGACAGGCATTTGTGCAGGAGCAAGAGGCTGAACTCGGCCCACTAAGCGTTCCCTTTTGTGAAGCAGCAGGTAAGTTATGAAGTTGATTAAAGATTTCTTGCACCAAGGAAGGGATATTTCTGGTACTGTGACTGGTAGCAAAAATAGCTGGAGAAAACATTTTAGTCCTTATACCACGCAGCACTGTTCAGGGAGGGTGTCTGCCCCTAGGCGCGTAGGCTGCGCTGCGTCTGGGTCTACACCGTGTGCTGCGTCTGGGTCTACACCGTGGGCTGCGTCCCCTGGTCGTCCGTTAAGTACCAGAGCTAATCTGGGTGCGCTTGGAGCAAGGCTGTGCCTGCTGCCGGTCAGGACCGACCGGCTGCTGGCATTTTCAGGAGGTGCTCACTCATAGGCCGCGCAGAGCATTTATGATTTGCCTCAATCTCTAGTGATTCACTGATGACTTGAAGGCACTTGTGAAATTCCCAGGAGGAAGCCCCCCTCCGTAGCAGGAGTCATCCATGGTTGTGTCTTGCTCAGTCAGGTTCTTCTGGGTAATAAAATGTTCAGTGTAATAGAGTTGACTGATTTTCAATGAATTATAGTACAATGAGCAATAAAACTCAACATTTCTAAACTGCTGCTCATGGAGGGTACCCCTAGGATGAAGCGGAAGGCCCTCCCAGGTCTCTGGTCCCCCCGAAGCTGCCCTGGCGCAGTGCTGGGGTGGGGGACCCCGGGGCTGGTGAGGGTGTTGGTTGGATTACCAGAGACAGGAGCGCTCACTGGGTTGATTTTTCACTGAAGAGCGGCTACTTTGGAGGTGCCGGTACTTACTGCCCTCGTTTTTAGTTGCTTACTGGTGAATAAGTGATAGTTTATGAAACGATACAATGCCAATACTTTAAAAATGTAATCATTAAACCAACCATGGACTTTGGCGTGAAGGAGTCTCCGCGAGTCCCAGCAGCACGTCCGTGTGGGTTTCTCCTTTAGCTTAGAATTTCAGGATCAATGGAAACCACTGGAGTCACCGAACCAGAGTCTTCAGAAGGAGAACGTGAGATCCTGTTCCCTCTCAAGCCCGACAGCTTCGGTCCCCAAGACAACATCCCTGACTCCGACGTGAGCCAGATGTAACCCGTGACTCACTCTGGACTCAGGGGGGCTGTTTATTTAGTGAATGGCATTGCATTAGTGCTGCTACTAACCAGTCACTAACGTGAGCAATGTCTGCTGAGTTCATGTTTCTTCAGATGAGAGGATGAACGGCTTTATCTTCCCACATTTATTAAGTGTTCTGCATGCACACGCACACACACGCACGCACGCACGCACAGACACACACATTCTGAAGTGCATGGAACCACCCTACTATGCATTTTCTCGGTGACCGCAAAATTGATCTGTTTCATCCATCTTTAAATTGTACTTAAAGTTTGGGAGCTATTCCTCTACCCCAGGAAAATGAACTTGGACAATAAACGTATTTAGATTTATAATGTGAATGCATTCTGGAACAGAACACCAGGGTTCATATCCCTCTTTGAACACTTACGTGTATTTCGTTATTTCTCCTTAAAAAGCAAGTTTTCCTTTTGTGAGGAGATCACAGTTGCTTGGGGGAAAATTGCCTTCCAGGCTTATAAGTTATTTTTCCCTTCGAAAATATTTTTCTGTTGGCATAGTGATACCTAAGTTGTTTACGGTAGAGTCTGTCTCTTCCTCAGAGGGGTTTCCCTGGGCCATGGATTCCAAGTCAGTGTCTTCATGAGAAAAACCAGAATCTAGGACTTACTGAGTCAGTTTTTGGAATGTGAACAAATATATACAGTAATGCAGAGGTTTTGTTTTGTTTTTTTTTAATTGTTTGTGTTTTGAGCACAAATGTAAATGAGAATGTCAAATTTAGAACTGAGACCTTCAGGTAAAAATTCATCTCCATGTTCTGGCCTAGAGAGGAGACATTTCATTTCCCTATTTAATTTGATGCCCTCTCTTGGTAGGCATTTTGGGAAATTCGATTGGCTTTTAATTTTCTTTCTTTACTAAAGACTTTGTGTTTTGATTAAATATCTTTGATATTAAATCAGGAAAATTAAAGGCAGAGAACTTAAAATATAAGGAATAAAACTCTATCACAAAAGCTCTCAAATTTCTCAGTGCTATTTGTGCAGACACAGCTGAAAACGAAGCAGAATCCTAGGTTCAGGAACCAATGCTTCAAAAATTTTAAGTTGGGGGTGGGCTGCATCTAATCTCTTCTCTTATGAATTTTTTATTACCTTTGTAAGAGAAATTTGCTGTTACTTTACTTAACTTTGGTCTTGTCAAACTAAAGGATTCTTTTTTTTTTTTTTTAATCCTCACCTGAGGACATTTTTGCATTTATCTTCAGATAGAATGGGAAAGAGGGAGGAAGAGAGAGAGAGAGAGAGAGAGAGAGAAACATCAACTTGAAAGAGACACATCAACTGGTTGCCACCCACACAACCTCAACCAGAGCTGGGGACAAACCGCAACCAAGGTACTTGCCCTTAGTGGGAACCTACCCCGGGACTCTGGTCCGCAGGGAACCGAACCCAGGACTCTCTGGTCCGCTGAGCCACACTGGCCAGGGCAAACTAAAGGATTCTTAAATCTCCCCCCGGAAGAAGTATGAAATTGACCACCTTGGCTGGAGAGAAGGCACCTCTGAAAAGAAATGGAGTCCACACACCCTAACACAGAATTCAAGAACAACTAAGCCTTTAGAGTTAGGGTAAATGCAATCAATGGATATTTCCTGGAGGGCTTTGATACTTAAGAAAAGAAGAAGAAAGGAAAGTCACCTGTTTTGACAGCACTTACGAATACTTTGTGTCTTGCGATTCCCCAACACGTCGGCAAGACATGGGCATTGTCAGCCTCCAGCAGTGATATTCTGGAGTGAAGTTTTGGGGATCCCTTGGATTCCAGCAGTGATTTGCAAAGACAGAGTGTCTAATCAGATGTCACCAAACTATATTACCCTGCAGAGCACAGATGTTCACTCTAGTTACTTTGTCTTGCCTCTGAAGCCAGACCCTCAAGCCTTACATTCCTGTCCTGGGGCATATGTGAGAGAGCATAGGTGGCTTCTGACAACCCACATCAAGCCTGGAGCTGTCTTGTTGGTGATGTGGGTTATAGTCTTGGTAGGTGTCAGGGCAGTCAGTGCAGTGTCATGATGTGCATCTCTTCTGTAACGTGTCAGACGTATCCGAGAAAGTCGGAACACCCTGAGCCCTTTAAGTAGTCAGCTCAGTGAGGGTTATTTATTTTCTTCCAATAGTGTTTTCTTTCCCTGGTTTTCTTAAGAGAAGTCCAGCAAATGTATTTCCCTGGGCTTTTAGGGGAGCCCACCTGGTTCATTTAATTTACATGCAACCCAATAGGAATACCGTTAAAGTTGAGGATGAATAGTCCCTGGCCTCAACGTGTTACGTTAGTCCCATGTGCCTTTAGAAATGAGCTTCTGTCTCAATCAGGAAGCCTTTGGTTCTTTGTTGGCAAACCACTCTTAAAAGAGCATTGCCGTTGCCTCGTGTTTGAACCCCTGACAGTAATTTTAATCAGTTGGCAGAAAGGACAGTTCCGTTGGAGGCAGAGCACTTTGAGAAGTAAGCTGGAGTCTGTATTATGTCCCCAGGTTTATTAACCTTGCGCAGGAGACTTTCGGGAAGCAGGACACGCCCCGCTGCTCACAAAGCCCACGGTGGCCAACAGAACAGGGACCTCGGGAGGGGGCTCAGGGCTTATTTATATTTTATTTTCTCTGTTGTGTCCCCAAAGAAGTGACTTCGCGCTAGTTAGTGAGAAATAATGAGAATAAGTACGGCATCCATCACAGCTTTTTTGGA